CTACAAAGTATCTCGGCGAACAGATTGTTTGTGCCTCATAAAAGCTTGCGAAGGAAACCGAATCCGAAACTGACCTATTCCAAGCGGATTTCAATTGCCGATTATGGTTGTGGTGAATAGCTCTGATTCTCAACGAGGTTATCAGTGGCAACTATAATAATATTATGTGTAAATATATATTGTTAAGTCGCGGGAGCACATCTGCGATCGCATTCGAATCGGGACGGAAATAAACTTTCGTTCTTTTTTGAAATTATTTACATATTTATTAGCATTGCATTCGGGTTTGATTGCTGGCCAATTAAAAGAACTCAGGGCTTATTTATAAACGCCAGTAAGCAGAAGCCAGGCACAACAGAAATTCGACGGAAGGGAGCAAAGATCGGGTAAAAAACACCTGCAGAGCCCGTTTCCAGATCATCTGGCTTTTTTCTCCAATTTTAATCGTTGTTTATTATGCAAAACAAAACCCACAAAATCAAAAAGTGCCGCACAGAAACAGTCACAAACCGTATATTCTTTCCGGCTCATTAAAATATCATCCTACGCTTACGTCAAAAAATCAGCAACGGCAAAACAGCAGCCGATTGGCGCCTCTTGGCCATAAATCAAATCCCATCATTCCCTCTTTTTAGTTATTTAAATAAACTTTAGCGAGGAGCAAAGAACCGAAATGTTGTGGGGCCAAAAAACAAAAACTTAAATCAAATCAATCGGCGAGAATCTGCAAATATTTCGCCGGTAAGCGAACAGTTCACTAGACAAGTTTTCTAGTCACATGTAGGTTTTGGATTCATTTTTCCATTTTTAGTGTCGGAAAGCTTCAACAGATGCGGATCTGCTCCGATATCAGCACTTTAAATGCAAATTGTATTTCTTCTCAGGAATGTCGTCATACTTTTCTCACTCACTGTTTCTGTGTTTTTAAATGTATTTTATTTATAAAACTCAGTCAGTCACATGGTCTATTTTTCCCTGCTGCTCTGGGCGGCTGAAATTATTTATCTGTTTAATTTTTATGGCAATTACACGTCCTTGGTGGCTCGCTCAAATTAAACTTTAACTTATGCAAATGTTCCTCTGATCTCTTCGCATTTCGGTGGGCACTCGTGTTTTTTGCAATTCGTTTAATTATCTCGTTAATTAGCGAGACGGTTTCTCAACTAATATTTGGGCATCAAGTTAATCCGGATTGCTTACACCATATTAAAAATACAAGTCACTTGTATGTACGGTTGCGATTCTTATCGAATTCGATTCTTATCGAACTTAACACCCATTTTCCAATGTTAACTTATAAGAATGGAAAAGGTTTTCCACGCACATTCAGCTGACTTCGCGTTGATTTTATTGTTTGATTTTGACCATAAATTGCCCGCTCATGCATATTTATAGCCGGATAGCTCGGAAATATTTTCGTGTGCTGTTCGAAAATCAAGTTTTCTTTGTCTTTTGTTTGAAACTAATTATGTTTCCCGTCTTAAATTTACTAATAGTTCCCCCTTGGCTGCCAACCGTTTAAATTATTGCACTCTGCTCGACGGGCAACACTTCGAGATATTCGCTTTTTTGGATAAATGTATTAAGTAGTGAATGCACGCAGTACACAATTCACAGTTTCCAGAAGAAATTAATTGATCGAAATTCAAAAGTCACGTGGCTGAGCATCCGACTCTGCCGGCAGTTGGAATCGAACTGAAAGCGGTCGCTCGGTCCGCCCATGTGCTCCGAAGTGCGGTCAATATCTGTAGCTGTAGCTGTAGCTGTATCTGTATCTATATACTGCCGTATCTGTGTGTAAAACCGGCAAGGCGGTACGAGGGTGTGTGCGTGAGAGCGCGCCTCTCTGTTTTATGTACTCATTACACGGCACACAGCGGCGCGAGAAAAAGGTGAGCACAACAGAAAATCATGCGAGCAAAGCAAAACGCAGAGGTGGCCTAATCGAAAGAAAAAACATAATAATACCAAAAAACCTGAATAGATAAGCAACTTCGAGTTGGTTAGGGCCCTGCCTAGGGCGTTGTGGGGCGTGGCACGCCGTCAGCTGACCGCCTCGGGCAACAAAAAACCACTTTCTGTTTTCCGATCCATTTGTGGAACTCTCTCCGCCGCTCTCGTGAGTATGGGATATTATAAACAGGCACACTTCTATAACCAAACCAACGCACTTGCGAAAGATCTTTAACTTTCAAGAATTCATTTGGCGGCGAAGATAATTTGATGACTGAAGAGATCATGTGCCAGCTCCAATCAATCGACTCTAATTTAAGAACTAATTTTATACTTAGAACTACTTTGTTGAACCTGATTTTGGAGCTTTGAATATTTTTAGGGATACTAATGGTTTTTCGCTTTGTAAACTATTTTGTAAATTGAACAACCATCTGAAAACTCTCTGGATTTAAAAAAGCAACAACCCCTACAAAGGCAATTTTATTTTAATTTAAAACATCTTAAGAAGTTTCTTAAGATTTGCTTTTCTGGGAATACTCAATATTTTAAAGGCTAATTTAATAGTAACACGCCATGGGCTTCAGTTACATATGTATGTGTTTTTAACCACCTTCACCTTTAACCTTTAAAGTTCGAACCTTCAATATCATAAGATTAGATGTGAATATTTATGGTCGCAGATGTTGTAGCATGGATGAGCTCCACTGTACTGCTGCCTTACATGGCATTAACATTTACATTGCTGTTATTGTGATTATTTTGTTGTTTTCGCTCGGTTCTGCGTTCATCGATTCTAATGCTCTTTTTGTGGATTCTTGGTGTGCGTGCCGTAACGCACGTAGGCCGAATAGACACCAACTACAGTCCAAATATTTCGCCCTTAGCATGGGCGGTGCTGCCCCCTTCACCCACCCCCTTTCTCTCTCTTTCCATCTCCATCCCGCTCTGTCTGCAGACACCGAGTCTGTTCTAGTTTCCTCGCTGCGCAGTCTATGTTTTTATGCTATTGACTCGATGAAAAAACCTAATAAAAAAGAAATAAAATAATATAAAACGGCCCACACATATCCACACTGCCTCGCCTGCCTTCAACATCAATGCCGCTTCGGATTTGTTTGTGGGCTGAACGAAATCTCCAAGCTGTATGCTTTCTAAGCCTCTCTCTCTTCGCTTCCATCCCGCTCTATCACGCTTTTGTATTACGTCATGGCCCGAGACACTTGATACGACGGCAGCAAAGGGGTGAAGAAAAACATGATAAACAAAAGACCTGAAAAAGCAACACAAAACTGCATCGAAGAGGGAAGAGGCAGTGATGTCAACGGAGCTTCCGAAATATCTCTAAATTCGAAATACAGTACGAAAATGTCGCTAAATGAAGCTACAACTTTATATTAATAATTTTTAACAACACTGTTTTGGATTGGAAAATTGTAAAAATTATATAGGAACAGTGGGATGTAAGTGCTTTCTTTTAGTAGATTTTGTACTGTTTTTTAGACAGCTTAATTTCCTTCAAATATGCACAATATTAGTACTTCCACACTTGAATTTACAGTTTGGAGTCGAAATAACTGGTTCTAGCCGAATTAGTTGTACATGCGATAGAAGGGATCCGCGCACCTGCTACAAAAAAGCTAAAGTGGCAGCACTGGAGAGCCAGTTTGCTTGTTCGTTCTTACTTTTGCTTTTCGCCCGACATTGAAACTGCAGCTTCGCATAAGGAGCACAACAGCAACAAAAAGCGCAGCCTGTACACGAAAACTTTCAAGGTCAGCCAAAGGGTAAACACATCCCAGCAACAGTTATTCCAGCTCTCTCACTCACACACTGCACTGGATCACTGGGTCTGGGACTCTCCCTCGCTCCGTCCCGCTCCCTCAGCAGCCACAATTCCGGCTTTCGGCATTTTTTTCTGGTCTAGTAATTGAAAGCACTATTTTTGGGGCCCTATAACGGTGACCGCATTCTCACATTTTCTTTTCGTCTGCCTATTCGTGGACAATTGCTGCTTCTCATTTTGTTTCTGTGATGCGAAATGGGAAAATTGCTTTGGCGGCGCATTCTTTGGTTCTATTTGTTCAGTTGTTGTTCCCGCTCTTTCGTAACTCAGATGTTACAACTACGAACGACACAATTTTCCACTCTTGTGAGTTATACAATATCTAAATACATATGTATGTAACCTAAGTAAATATACATACATACATATATGAACAGTTGAAAAGTTAAAGCTTGAATTGAACTTATGGAAACTCTTAAATTTTGTTCTCTACAATAAATGATTCACAAAATGATTCAAGATACATAAAAGGTACTTTAAAAGTATCTTGGAAGATAAGAAGCATTTCGCTTAGCCCGACATATGAATTTCACTTTATAGAGACTGTATATAAACTACTCTTAAAACGAAGCTAAAAAGAAACTTAATCCTAAAAATTCAGAAGTATTAACATTTAATCCAGTCCACCTTACATTAAATTAAATTAGGTCGAGAACCGTAAATCACTTTTAACAAATTGATTGAATAAACCATCCGATTTCTGGTATTAAACCACTCGAATCGGGTTGTCAATGAAAGCCAAAAATATTCCACAGCGACAGATGTTCCCACACCCACGCAATCGATTTAAACGTTTTCCGGCGTCTTGTTATTTGTTTATTTGCTTTGGACGAGCTTCTGCGTTCGATCAGGGGATAGATAAATAAATTTGATAAAAGTGTTAAGTAATTCTGGCTTTTGGCATTTACATATGTAAAACACTGCGCTGTCTATGCGCAATAACTCCAAGTTAGCTTTCCGTGCTGAATTTTATTCGCTCGTTCGTTGGTTTGTTTGTTTTGTTTTGTTTTTTTGCTTTTGCGCTGTTTTCGGTTTCTTTTCGGTTTTTCAAAGTCAAGGTTAATTTGACTTTGTAGTGGACGCTTAAATTAAGTCGGTTTGGTTTATGGGTTCTGTGAATGGTTATTTTCTATGTTTTCTACCTGGTACTTGCTGTTCTAATAATATTCTAGTATAATAGCGAACTCTATGTCGTACTTACTTTGCACAGCCAACTGTTGTTGATGCGCCGCCGCACGCTGCAAATGAAAGAAATAAATGAATAAGTTAAATACATTCTTCCAAGTTTAGCCAGCAAAACATTTACATATACGTATAATTTAATTGTTTTCATGAAATATACCGCCTATGTATTATGTATATGCTTAATAATGTGCTAATTATTACTAATGTGATTACGATTTCTAGACTAGCTTATGTCATTCAATCAGTTGCAATTCTTACATGGTTGACCATCATGGCGCGGATTCCTGGCAGGGATTGCACATCGAGGGATTGGCTGCGCCCCCGACGCGTTTTATTGGTGGGCGAGACGGGCGGGGGGCCGGGCGAGGTGGGCGTGGCAGAGCTGCTCGAGTGAGTGTGCCGATATATCCAACGCTTCACCGCCGACATTTTGTCGCAGTTTTATGTATTGTTGTATTGTTGATATTTTTATTATCACCTGATGTGATTCATATTTACCAAAGTTCACTCTTGGTAATAAATTTTCAATAAATTGATTAAATGTTTATCTACACAAGGGAACCAATTCAAATTAAAATTTAAATTCAGCACTCTACTGCTTGTATAGCCGCCAGCACTGCTTGTCGGTGAACTGCTTGCAGCAATTGCTTTCACTACTCAACGCCAGAGGCGCTTTATTGTGCCGTATTAAGGTTTTTTTTTTTCTGATTTTTTGTTTACCCATAATAAATAAAATACAATTTGATAAGTGCATATAGGGGATTTGCCAGTGCCACCCATAAACTATGTAAATTGCCCTGCCGTTGCAGCGGGAAAATGCCAAGTTATGTATATTTTTTAATTACCCGGCAAGAATTTTCGCCGAGTTTTCGTGTTTAAGGAAATGGAAAATAAGTGAAATAACGACAATGTCGCAGAATATCAGAATATGATTGCAGCTATAATTATTTCCAGCGGTCCGCGTCCTATCACCTTTCCCCGCCACCCCTCAAATTAATCCCTGACCCCGAACTCTTTTAATTAACAAATAAGCGCAGAGCATGATCATTCTGGAGAAGAACTGGTGACGCATCAAGTTGATTGAACGCAGCCGTAGAGTTCGGTGGATTTGAGAGGAGGCGTGTTTTCCTGGTTGATTGCTGCTGTCGTGTGTCCGTCCAATTGAAATTGACAAAAACTTTGATTGAAAGGTGCACCCAATAAAGAGCAGAAGACAGAAGACAGCAGACACGAGACCAGCGGAAAGCGATTCTATACAATGAAAACTAATTAAGACTGGACAACGAGGATTTCGACGCGGAAATATTTTAGTTAGGCAATGGGTCAGCAAGTGAAAACTTGCGATAACCACGCTGATTTTTGAAAAATGAGACTTAAGAAACTCAGCCTTGCAAAGAGGAGGGCTCTACATACCAAAATTTCCACACTCATGATTGTCGAGGGCCAAAACCGCATGTTGACAAGATGTAAAGGGTTCACAGGTAGAAAGATAGTTAGATATCTATAGTATGTTAAATGCCTGCAGCAAGTAAACAATCGACCAATGTGCTGCCGCAAACTGATGCAAATTTATAAAGCCCGAACCCAATCTTATTTAATTCTCAGACTTTCAGGCCTAACAACTGACAAGGTCTCAGGGAATTGATAATTTTTGAACAAAGTTCTGATTTCCACACACCGCCGGCCGTATACTTAATATTGTCAGCTTGTGCTTTTGCGTTCTTATCGTATTTTGATTGTTTTGTTTACCTCGGCGGTGTAACTTGTTTCTAGCACGGCAATCAAGCAGCAAATATCGTAGACGCAAATAATACAAGTAGAATTAGCCATTGAAAGTACAAATTTGCATATAGGTATGTAGTTTGCTTCCATTTCTCATATCTTTGCCAATATTTGTGAGAGAAATGCGCGGCAAACTAATAATAAGTAAATAATATTCTAGCAAAACAGACTCCGCGACCAGACAACCAAACGCAAACAGAATGTAAAAGTCATTAACGTTAATTAGCTGCTCGCGCGAAGGCAAATAAGCCAAAAGCAAAAGCAAAGGCAAAGGCAAAAGGGTTTTAGCCAGCGAACTGAGCCAACTCTTAATATCTGGCCACAAATCAACTCGACTTGGTTGCAGCCCCATTCCAGTCAGCACTCAGCGTCTGGTTGGACTTCTGCCAGCTCCTCCGATCGGATCGATTCCAAGACAGCGAGTCTGGAAGCCTTCAATTAACATTGCGTTAACAGCGACATGTTAATTTCCAATTGGCATGTGACCAAGCGCGTAAAAGATTTCTGCCAAACGAAAGCAGCCTTTTGTGCCATAATCTATTTACTAGCAGTTCTGAACTATTTGTATAATATATGTTTCTGCTTGCTTCACAATTCATTTGTATATATGTATATACATATATATATGTATTGTATGTATAAAGGAGTATTGACTGGATAATAATTGGCTCTTCCTCGATTTTCTCTGCTCCAAAGTGGTTTGTGAACTCTATATATAAACAAATTAATATATTTTTGCACACTCCTAATCAAGCCTCTCGCCATAAACAAACTTCCACATCAACAAATAAGCTGCGTCGCCTATCTGTGGTTGACCTCTAGGCAAGTGAGATAAAGATCAAAACAAATATAAGCAAAAGTAAGTGCAATATTAAATAAGAGGTGGGAACGGAGAAAAGTTGCCACTTTGACAAATGATTGATTAACGAGCAGAGCCCAAAAAAGCGAAGAACACAAGCGAAATGCATAAATAGAAATAATGAAATAAGTGGGCACAGGCACAGAACCAGAGAACCAGAATGTCTGTTTGAAACAATTCACTTTCTTCTCACTTCCTCGTGCAAAATACATAGCGAGCGAAATCCCAAGTGGGCAGGTGCCATGTAGGGAAAGCTGATTTCCATCGGGCTAATATGGCCAGGTTTCCGATTAGGAATCAACTTCTTTTCCTGATTTGTATCTTCGATCTAGAGCGAGTTAGCGTTACCAGCGGCAATTATATATTCGGTTTATTTAGTTATCTGCTAAATTTGTCAATTCAATTTAGCCGCCCTAGCGGCCATTTATCTTATCTACGGCCTGCCTTCCGTTGTATATTCTAAATTAATTTCCAGACGCTTCGCTCCCTAACTGAATCTTCCCTCTTGCTGGTTTGGTGGCCAGGCCAGCGCTGATAAGTTTCTTCCTCGTTTCCATTTTGCAAATAACACACTTTGGGGCTTATCGCCCAGTTAAGTAATCGCGGGAAAAGGGCCAGAGAAAACAGTGATATCATCCATTGAGATGCCATAAAATAGTCAACCGTCAACCGTTAACCGTCAGTCAGTGATAATGACCAACAAATCACCCGAAAACAATGTTAGGCGTGGAAAATCCCCTATTATTAACAACAGCTGCGTGTCCTCAGGAAAAGCGTCAAACTATTGGGACAGATTTCAAAATCTCTAATGGAATAATTACGCAGATAATCGAGTTCTGGTGTATGATGATTTACTTTTACGGTTTGGCAATGGCATTTCAAGTTTTTACTTTTAGTTCAGAACATTGTTAACACTCTTCAGCACTTTCCTCGCCACAAAAGTTGGGCACCCAACAAATTAGCGAATTCCTCCCAAGATATTGGCTCGAGGGCTTTGCAAACAGGAAAGCCAGCAGAACCGCACCATCACCTATTATTTAGCGTATTTATGAACAATAACTGCAGAGCACCAAAGCGGCGATCACATGTTGGCCATTTATTATGGCGGCTTTTTCGTTCTCTTGCCACACCTTGAATATGCTCATTTCCATGCCTTAGAAATCGCGTTTAATTAAATAAGAAGAGTTCTTGCACAATAAACAAATGTTATGGGAAATATATGAACGTGCGCGTGAGTTTCGTCAGTGAACTTGAAAATTAAGAACACAAATTGTCCGCCAAAAAGGAGGAAATTCACGGTGTGTTTTAAATTAAACTAATTGTCGCGGCACATTAGAACTTAAATGGTAGCAGAAATAAAACGGCATAGATTTGTTTGATTTAAAAATATTTGTTTTGGGCAAACGTAAAATGGCTTGTTTTCACGCCACGGATTATAAATATAAATATTTCTTATTTATTCAGTGGTTGTGCCAGAACTTTGAGTCGCTATTTTGTTGGTAATCAACAGAATTCAAAATATTAGATCAATTATTTCGTAGTTATTCGAAAGTTGTAATTATTTCCTTATATATTTCCATTTTAAATTTGAACATTTTATTTATTTATAGGCATTGGGCAACCGTTTTTCCGGTAAATTATTTAAAATAGCACTCCAAACACACATTTAATTTTTTTCCAGACCGTCGGAATAGTTCTCTTGCCAAGAAAAACAATAAATAAACGGAAAAGTTCGATGTCAACACACGGACACACGCGATGGGCGTATTTATAATTCGGGCAACGCGCAGATGGAATGAATGTATGAATAAATCCCCATTCCAAATCAAAGTCGGGGCGGAATCCGAAGGATCAGGAGCGTAAATTACGCGCACAATTGCCGCTTGGCTGGCTCAATTGGAAATGCAAGTGAAAATAACAACACATCCGCTCGATCGGCGGCCAAACAAAAAATGTTCAAGTGACAACGGCGGCGACGCTGGCGTATACGTAATATTTATGTTCGTGCGAGTGTGCAAAAGTCCAAAAACCGCCAGAGAAACGAGAGAAAATCGGAGAAAGACGACAGTGGGAGCGTGAAAGCAGCTGAGCCGATCACCTGCCATTGAAGCTTTCGCTCCAAAGGACTTTTCCGCTCTATACACTTCGAAAAATATACAAAACTTTCGCTTTGAAAATTGTACTATATCTCTGCAGTAAGGAGAGCGATATAAAAGTTCTCTACACACTTTGTGTATTTTATGCAATTATTTTATGCAATAATAATAAATAATCAACAATTTAATTGGCACAACATCATTTTGTATTATTATAGATTGTGAAGCTATTTGTGTGTTTACAAAATGTCAATCGTTCAGTTCTTTTGCCTCTCTTGCTATAAACGATACATAATAATCAAAAACGAAGCTTATCAATCAAATCGAGGCCTATCGAGTTGAAATCAATAATGGCGCATAATTATTTATAGAATGGATGATTGTTAATGACGATTCTTGCCGCCGATAAGCCCTCAAGTGGACCTTTCGAGACAACATGGCATTTGGGAGTGAAATGCTGGTAATCACTTAATAACGCTGTTATAAACCTAATGAGACGTGATAAGCAATATTCATGAACTGAATAGCCATTAATCACGTTGTTTCTATTAATTAAGGGTTGAGATTTTTCATATTTTCTAGATAAACTTCAGCTTGCCTGAAGATGCATTGCTCTACATCACAAAGTTATTTGGAATTAAGACAATACAACAATTTGTTTATGAGTACTTAAAAATACAACTACAAAACGCTGGTTCAAAAAGTGAATAGCGGGGACACTATATTCAGCGGGAAACTGTGAGCGAAGACTCAAACCGATGAAGCAGTTTTAGCTACAATTCCACAGGTGGCGCTGTACTACATCCGCGGTTTTCAACCGATAATACACGCCTTTGGCAAAGTTATCGACTATTTTTTAAAGTAATCATTTTAATTCAAATGTTTGGCGGTTAATTAATTTGTACCGAAAATGAGTAGAACAACTAAAAAGCCCGTTTTATAAATAAATAAAATATGAAAATAAAACTGGTTCAATATTTTTTGTTCTGTATACATGAACGCCAATATTAAGTAAATGAAAATACTCTTTAACGGCTTGAAATTGTTCATTCATTTCTAGAGTTTTTTATGAATAGTATTGTAGAATATATGATACGTTACTTATGTACATATATATTGTTAAGGTATAAATAAATTAATATTAATTAAATATTAATAAATGAATGCTTAAAAATAGGCCATTTTCTTAACCATTTGCATATACGTATTTTAAAGGGGTACAAACAACGGAACAAGTTGTATCTACAAACAATGGAATGCTGTGATGCAAGCACTTGGAGTTGAGCTCACTCCAGACAAAAATGTATTAAGTACTTAATACCTAATACATACCCTACTTAAAAATGTAATCAAGCTGAAGTCACACAAATGTAGAATTCTACACTTACCGCTTTGCGTTTGTCGGCTTCGCTGACAACCGAGCTGGATCGATGCCGGAACAGATCCATGACCTTGGTCATCGGCGAGCGCTGGGAGGAGTTTGGACGCACCGCCGTCACCGTGTGGTAATACTGTAAGAGGAGATCAGTTAGAACAGTTAGCGTGGAATCAAGCGACAATGGGGGGATGACAGGACTCACCTGCGCGTCGCTGCCTTGATGCGGATGGGCACTGCCGTCTTTGTACTTGCTCTTTGCCGTGGATTGAGTCCCGTCGGCGCTCGTTATCGTCACGGCGGGATGCTGGCGATGGCTGAAGTTCTGCATGGCCACCTTCATTGAGTTCATAAGGCCACCGGCTCCTCCCGCTCCGCCCGACGCCGCTCCGCCCGATCCTCCTGCTGCTGCGGCTGCTGCCGAGCTCGAGGCCGGACCTGTGCCCCCGGAAACGGAGTAGGTGCTGCTGGTGGCGCTGCTGTCGGCGGAGGAGGGATCCAGCAGGTGCTTCTCCTTCTGGCGCCGCGCATCGGATTTCGCCCGTGGTCGGAACACGTCGAAAATCGTGGGCCTTCGGTTCGGTGACGCTATGCCGTGCACCGTCGACTGATTGAGCACTGGCGAGTCCTCGCCACTTCGCCTCCGCTCCAGCGAACCGGACCGCGATCCCACTCCCGCCATGGCCATCCGCTCCGTGCTGCGGGAGATCTTCTCGCTGTGCCTGTTGATCTTCTCCAGCTTGGCCGCCTCGCGTTCGATCCTTCTCGCCGTCTCGCGCTCCAGCTTGCGGGCCTCCTTTTCCCGTCGCGACTGCTCCTTCTCCTGGCGGCTGTGGCGTAAGTAAATAAATTTGTTAGTACAAATGACATTTAATTGGGCACCAGCCATGTTGCTATAGCCTGGAACAAATATTGTTCCTAGTTCCGGCTCCATAATATGGCTTTGTTTAAATAAAATGATTCTTACGTCTCAAATTTTGACTATAACTACACTTTACTACAATTAACTAATCCCTTTCTTGAAAATTTAAACCGAATAGTTGTATTCTAGTGGGAAGAGCTAAACTCTCCATTATGTCGTTTAGCAACTCACCGCTGCTCCTTCTCCATCTTCTTGTAGGCCTTCTTGGCCGCCTTGGCATTTGGCTCTGCGGGGGCGCTGGAGGGTCGGGATCCTGGCATCCGGCCGGCTCCTCCGAGGCTGCCATCCTGCTCCTGGAAGCGAACATGGCGTTTTTGGGGATTAGTTTGTGGCTGAGTTGGATGGGGTGTGTGGGGATTGGAGTTGGCATCCAGTGGGCTAGCGACTTCGACTGCGAGAGTACTTTGCATGTTTCTGGCGCCGCTGGCCAAGACGAACTAAAGCCAAGGACTGTTTGGAAGAACCAGCCGAACGGCATTATCCATTATCCGCCGTATCCTTTCACCTCTGACCCTCTGACCCTTATTTGTACTATCCCCAGTACTGTCCGTCCCTTTTCAGCAGCTGCAATTATTGCCGAATTGTCTACAAATACAATTTATTCGCCACAATACACAATGGATTCAGTGGCGTAACCCGGGGTGACGGCAATTGGAGGAGCAGGCGACACCCGATGCGTCCCTTTAATTGGACCATGACGGAGGCGATGGGAAGACCTATGTATCCCGCCTGTTGCTCGCCAATCGAACGTACTCAATTAATTTATGATTACGCAAAATTGCAACCGAGTGCGGGACAGGACAACCGTTGTCAAGGAAGCAATAGTTCAACGGTTCTGGGAATTTTACCCAAAACTCTGGGAACTCCAACAAAGCAAGCTCAAGAAATCGGAACGTACTTCTTTGTACATAACACTTTAAGGGGCATCCCCTTAAAAATGATTAAAGACAATTATGCTAATGATCGTCATTATGTCATAATTATGACAGACGATCTATTAGGCAAAGAATGAACTAATTATCTACTCAACGTTGTTTGTTTCTCATATTTGATTTTTTCTTGAAACGAATATGCAAGTTGACTTTACACAAGACTCTAATCGACTGCTAATATCGTTTTTAATAGATTAGCGATCTCCTATCTTTGATATTCTTTGGATATCAGTGTATAGCAAATATTAAATAGTAAAGTGAAATATTTGAACACAGTTGTTTTTAATATATTCCTGTTGAGCTATTGGTCGCATTGTACTTACAACTGAACCGAACTTAGCAGAATGGTCCGTTACAATATATGTAGGCAATCTATTTCCGAGGGTTTTTAACAACTTTTACAATCACATATACACATCTTGACTTGGACTTGGTACTTTTTCACGCAACTTTGGCCAAAATCTTGATCGGAGACAGCAAACACCTGTGTTCGAATTATTTATAGCAAAACTACAAAGAGATCGAAGCGGCTTTCTTCAGGGCTAAGGGGCTTGTGTCCAAAAAGCCGAGTCACGTGCCCCGAGGGTCGCAGACGACTGCGATGAGTTGACCACAAAGACGGTCGTAGATTGGCAGGTCTGGCTTTATTGGGTTAACACTTAGAGAAACCAGACGAAAAGCTGAAGTCTAGAAATATATCGGGGCCATTAGGATAGCTGGAGTCGGTATCAACTGTCTGACACGGTCTAATTCAATATTTAAGCGGTTATGAAACACGCTAGACGGCTGCAGAGGGAAGACTTCCCTTTAACGTTTGTTTTAGGGCGTGGCGGAACCGGAGAAAACTGACGTCATTGTTTGCCAAGCCAAGGTAAAAACCTATCTGCCTATATTGGGAGATATATATATGGAAATTTTATAGTGGCATTCATACGTATACGTACGCGATATGACCGCGTTCCGTCAAAACAAATAAGAAGCGGCGATGAGTTCCAGGGGGAAATGTTGACAAATTGTGTCATGATAAGCGGAGAGCCAACAGATATAGAGAATTACCCGACTATACTAACTATATATAGCCACAGCATGTGTGGCACGATAAAAACAAGCCCCAAAAGGCTGATTTTTCGCCGTGTTTACATTTTGGTCAGACAAATGAACTCGAAAACTCGAAAAGGCGAAGAGGAAGCGAATACTGAAGAACTGAAATAATTCGTATACCTCTTTTTCTTTTTGGGCTATAAATAGACAATTTTATGGATATCGTAGAAACAACGGCGCAAGCGAATTATTAATATTGAGTAAACAAAGTGTAAGCCTCAAGACCGCAGATCCGACCAGAAGTGATGGTCAAGTGGCGGCCCTTTGGCATCGCAAAGGGCAGTATTCCTCCCAAGAAGTAGTCCAAATATATAAAATGCTAGATATGCCGATCCAATGGAGTATTCAGAAATACTCCTGAACACAAGCCCCCGAATGTAAGGAACTAAAAATATACTTTACAAACGATGTATGGAACCTGTTCTTATGACATCATTGACTCAGTGCCCATCCCAGTTTTCGCTCACCAGACCTTTTGCCCAATTTGTACATGTTAAATTATTTGAAAATGATAAAGGCACATATCTCAAATGACGTCAGTCAGAACTGTGAATATAAAGATCACACATACCCCATTTAGGATCAATTAACTATGGACTTTAGGTTTTATGGCTTTACCATATACATATGGAACTCTTTAAATGAGAATATTTTCATCGATTTGATTAGCTATCTGCTGCGTATGTGAATATATTTCCCTAGCACAACTGTGATTAGCCACCAAATCATAGTGGCTAAGTACCATAAATATTCTAGTCCCATCCTTCATAAATATAATACTTCTAGAGTGCTATCTGAACCCTTCACTTACGTCATCGGACACAGAAACGGAGACGGATCCCGAGTTGGTCAGCTGGCGGGATGGACTGGTGGTGGAGGCACTGCTCTCGCTCCTCAGCAAACGGGGCATGGTGGACGCCCCTCCCAAGGAAACGGGTCTCTGCTGCTGTTGCTGCAAGGTCATAGGTGCAAGCGGAGTACCTGGAGTACCTGGAGCAGTACTGCCACTCAATCCACCGTCCTGCCGCCGTATCCAGATCTCGTCCAGCTCCCGTTCGCTGGGCGTGCGCGGCTTGTTGGCTAAACTATTTGTATCACAAGTGAGGCTTTGGTGATTGCTGTTGGCCAGCCCAGTCGTATTGAGCGCCACGTTGCTCTGGGCCGGCGTGCGAATCTCCACCAGCGATGGCTCGAAGAACTGCTTCGACAGATGGGGAGCGACGGTGGGAAACCGATTGGAGCCATATCGCTGCGAGAACAGGCCCTGCACCGAGGAGTAGCCCCCGAAGCTGGAGGGGAAGCTGATGGTGTGGGCATTGGAGCTGGCCTTCAGTTTGCTCAGCTGCTGGGCCTCGACTCGCAGTTCGGGTGTCTCCTGGGCAAGTGAGACCTTAAACTTGCCCTTGATGATCAGCGGGGGCTCCGTGGGCAGGGGCAGTGGGGAAACGGGCTCCGGGGTTACTGGAACCGGCGATTCCTTTGCCACAATAACGCTGGATGTGGGTGCAGGACTCGGTGGACTAACTGGAGGAGGACGGGAAGGAGGCGCCACTGGTTCCTGGGTGTGCAGTAACGCCTTCAGGGCCTTTGGTAGAATCGTGGCTGGTATGGGAGGCGGCGGAGGAGGTGGTGGCGGCGGCGCCCCACTCTCCTCGATATTTCGGGTATTGATCCAATCGATCTTGTGCATAAACTGCTGCCTCAGCCGCTCCAGATCTTTGAACTTCTCCTTGGAGGCCTCATCCTGCGGCGTGGGTGGCCTCGGAGGCGCCTTCGAAGCTTTATCGGATTTGGTTGACTCCCCTGTCGCAGATCCTCCGCCCAGCTGGCTCCTATCGCCCTCGTCCTCGTCATCCTCCTCCTTGCACTGCGACAATCGGCGTCGTTCGATGTAGGGAGGTAGCAGATAACCGGGTCTTTGGTGACCCGAATAGAGATCGACCTTGACAAACTTCCCGCTGAGGTTGAGTCCCAGGCTGTGGTGAACTTCATCATCGTCGTCATCCGGGTCGTCCTCGTCGTCCGAGCTGCTGCCACTGCTGCTGTGGAAGTCGAAGGAGTTCGATCGCGGCAGGCACTTGAGCATCTCGGAATCGATGTGCTGGCCATGTAGTGGACCCGGCAAGCCCCTCAATCGCTCCTCCCGCTGCTGCACTACTTGGCCCAGGCTGCCGGAGGAGGCGGAATCGGTGATCTGGTCATTGGCACTCGCCTCCGAGTCCGATTCGTAGCCATCCAGGACACCTTGCTCCAGGTCATCCATGGTGGACTCAAAGGCGCATTCGAAGCTATCCTCGCCAGCGAATTGCTGGTACGGATTGCCGACTGGCTGCTTCGCCGGCTCATCCTGCAACTCCTTGGGCTCCTGCACCTTGTCCTCCTGGACGCCCATGACCGCTGCATTGGCCAACGGCTGCTGCTTCACTTGCTGCTCGATGAAGTCGCAGTTCGTGGCCATTTGGTTGATTTGCGTTTTATCTTTGGACTATTGCTATGGATCTCCTGCTGCTCTGTCTATCGATGGGGTATCTCACTCTGCGCTATGCAAAATATTTTCTTTTGTACGACATTGATATGCCGTCTTCTTTGGGAATCTGTAAAAAGATTATTGGATATCAATCGACTGACCAGAACTCAGCGCTTGAGCCTCTCATCGTTCCTATGTGTTGATATGAGCTGTTTGACCCCATTTTCTTACGCATTTCAACCAGTTCATTGAACAAAAGTCGGCAAACATTCTTGGGGAGGTGAAGGTCGTACGATTTTCCCCTTCCCTTCCCACTTCGTCCACAAACCAAAAGTCGAGCAAAACAAAAGCTAATTTCATTATTTACGCTTCGTCATCGGCGTGGTTTTGCTTGGAAGAAAAACAAAAGTCGAACGCGAAATTCAACAAATGGAAAAATAAAAGAAAACATATGGCAGCTGATATACTGACAGAGCAGAAATCAACCGAACACATATCTAAATGCGAAAATACGAAACACACGGTAGAATTGCGAAGTTGAATGGGGAGATGGGCATTTTGAAAGTAATATTACTTTGCGCAATTTTAAAACAAAGTCAAATGCCATTGAAGCTTTGTTGACTAAAGGCTTAACATCATTTACATATTCCTTTCCGTGTTATTCGATAGCGATAGAACAGCGCGGAATTCTGAGGAGTCTGATTTGGACTAGCAAAAGATAGTTACAAGTGCCCTGAACACATTTAAAAACTGCCAAGCATAAACCAGGAATCAACCTAGACGAGTAGCCTAAAGATACGCATCTACGCAAATCGTTTCCAAGCAACAAGTGGCAGAATCGTGGCTAAAACCGAGTGGGCCCAACCCAAACCGCGAGTGTTGATGTGTAATCGAGCATATGGCGTACGCATCTAATAGATACCAACCGCAATTAATGGCAATTAGGTACAAATGTATCTGGTATCCGTGCATATGCTTATGTCAGCGACTGTTTTGCGGTCCTCGGCTGACAGAGATGGTGACGCACTTTTGCTGGTGAATCAACCTTAAAGGTTGAACCTTTGATTTTTCCAGTACGGAGCCGAAGATACATCGATACTTTTTACGTTCGTTTCGCTGGAATTTCGCTTGGCTAGAAAATTCGCATTAATTACCGGGCACGTTATTTCCTCTGACTCAATCGAGAAACACGACCGACTGCAATGTATCTGTATCCAATGGATACTGGCATGCAATTATACGACCCCCAAAGCTCCGCCCTGCACTTAATTGCATAACTGATTCAATTGTAGTCAGCTGATCGCTCGGCATATGTATCTATTAATTATTGGTCGTAGTCAGCGATTGACCCGCCGGCAGTTGTATCTATGTATCTCTGTCCGCTGTATCTAAGTATCTTTGCATCTGCGGCCGACTTTGCCAGACAAACTGGCGTCTCTGTCTTGTGACTTTTAGTGGTTAATATTATTTAGTCGTGCATTGGAACTACACAATACTTCCTTCTAGTCGTAAAGCATTTGAAAGCATATACGTGACTCTCCTTCCCATTTCTCATTTCCATTTCGAATTTCTAACGCATTTTTTGCGCTTTGTTTGCAAACCGCGAATGCATATCGCATTCAAGCATTGAACTCTCGTCACGTAATCGATATTATTGTTTAATGGAAGAAACCGCACTGCCAAATCAACTGGTTGATTTCGCTACACAAAATAACAATTAAAAGGCAACCGCAAAAATAAGCTAACTTTAGCCAGCAAAGAAAAGTCGGCGACGACGACAATAATTAATCGAAAGACAAACGCAACATTGGCATTCAAACAATTTTCTGTGTCATTTAGGTAAAGTATAAATGCATTTTTACTGGGTATAGCAGGTCGAGGGGTGACATAAGTTGCGCGATTACAAGCCGGCTTTTAATAATCCAAAGCTGTGTTTCCAATAAAATATTATGAATGTACTGAGTACTGTGGCTCAAGAGTTTTATTACCCTATAATTACTTCTGGGAAGTCTTGATAAATATTGAACATATATTATTGAACATTGATTCGATTGAAATTCGATTCCTGATTCTTATTTCGGTGTCCCACGTATATTTTCAACCTGCTAAGTTTGCATACACCAACATCTTTAACTGCCTCCTTAACTTAGTTGTTTTGCATACCATACCAGGCACATCTCTGAAATACACGGTACCACTGAATAAATGCATTTGAATATGCTAAATGCATTGCCGTGGTGACTTTGGCACTTGATATTAGGTTGGCGCACAAGCAAATAAATGAATATAGTATTTAACTAGTGCCGCACAATGCGTGGGCTGTAATTGCTGTTAAATGATGTAGGATGCCAGCTGCTCAAGGCACCTCCACTTCCACAAGTGATTGAATGATCGTCACTCGGCTCTTTGGAGGCTTATGCAATCAATCCGTTGACACTCTCACGTGATCCCTATCCCCAGTAGATGATTCACATCACTCGTCTGATAGTGCAAATGTCACTTGCTTTCCATCGACTTCGAGCGATTCATTAAACGCTGTCAGGCGGCGCATAACTGATATTCCAATCGTCGTGAGGAGGGAGAACCAACTGAGAACGTTCAGAAAGCCAATCCCACAAGGTTAAAGACACTTCCAACTTCCGCTTCCAACTCCAAACAATAAACTCTGTGGCAAGTGCGTTAGCTAATTAGCGTTGCAATGCCTGTGGGATGGGGAGATTCGAGTGGGTGGAGGATCGTGGGATTTCGCAGCTTCCTGCTAATTGCACGCCTTTCCACTTTTAAGATGCCGCCAATTACAACTCGTTTGCGGAGCTTTAACCCTATGGAGTTTGCCATGTCTGTAGGAGGGGACTTTCATGACAATTCGCAATGCTTTAGGAACTTGATTTATAGCAGAAAATATGCTACGTATCTACTTTATATAACTCTTCCCACACGAAAACACAAGGAATTAGTAAGTTCTCAGATTAAATGGTTATCATAATTAAATTGATACTCGCTTTTCCTATTAAACTTGTATTCAACAATAAAGCCAGTTTTCAATACAAGTTGTTAAACAAAATTAGAATCATAATTATTCTACATTACTGCCCATTAAAGTTGTTTTGAGCGATTAAGGCAGTTTTCCATGAGAACAACATTTTTGCACAGCTTGACAGTTTAATATCATTATTAATCAAGCAACGACATCAGTTATGTCAACCTTTTTTTTTAGACAGCTATTAAAGGTTACGTACTTAAGACAAACTGCATTGCTGTAAACTGTATTGCAACTTTCAAGCTAAGATCATCTCGCTTGTCGAAATATTTAAAGACTTTATCAAGATAACCCATTAAAAGTAACTATACAAATTCAATATATTTTGCTACAAATGAATCAACAGGAATTCATATCAATTTTAACTGGATAAGATAGTGTTGAAAATGAAGAAAACATGTTTGTCTTTGATAAGGTTTTCAAAAACGTATTTTGAAGACCCATTTCTCGTTTAGGCGTTTTGAAAACTATTTGGGCCAGCAATAATTGGCGGCAATCGAAATTGAGAATTTCCTCTTTCGCCACGAGCTCAAGCGTGATCAAATTGTTGGCTGCGCTGGCACTTCATTTTCCATTTCAATTTCCATTTGCTCAGCAGAAAATCGAAGAAACCTGGGGCATACTCTGCGTATCTGAAGTATCTGAATCTGAACGATCGGCTGCCGTTGTCAAGCGCGCTTCAGTTAGCGTTTTCCACTCTCGTCTCGTCTCGTCTCGACTCGGTTTTCTGTGTCATTTTGGACTGGCGAGCTGGAGAGGCCCTGTCTGCCTTACATACTCGTACTTGTATATGTTTCTCGACTCAACTGAACTCGACGGCGAAGTCACGTGTTTGGGTTTTGCCATTGTTTAAGTTGTTTCTCGTTTTCGATTTCTTGTTGCTTTCAGTTTTTGTTGTGTGCCATTGTTGTGCATTATGTTTTGCACTCGGCTTCAGTTTCGATTTCTGTTTGTGTCAACAAACGGCCAACTGGAGGGGCGTAACCGGGCCCAGTTACCCGGTCAAGGTGGCAGAGCATCTAACTTTAAGTGAATTATTGGCTAATTGAAGACGGCCTCCCGCACTACCAATATTCAGATAAGGTGGCTCCCTCAAAGATATTTAGACTACACTCAGGAAACTGTATATACAATCGTTTATTTAAAGAATATGTTTTAGGCGGCATGAAGAACATTATAAAGAGCATTTACTGGAAGATTGTAAAAGTATTTTCGTAGATGCTTACTTTTAAAAAACATTTACATGCCCTCGTGAAACGGTTTCAACCAGTTTTCTGCGCCCTATGCTTTTAAAAACTCAGCTTTAGAAATGGGTGGCCTTACCAATAAATAAATGATACATTTTTTTTAATTATTAAATCAAAATTAATAAAGCAATTACTATACCCGCAAATATAACAAACACGCGTTAAATAATACAGAATAGAAGACTTTTTTGTCCTTTTCACTCAAATTCCTTTCAAGCCCTGAGAGTCTGGTTCACTCCTTTCTTAAGTATCCATTAACACTTGCATTGGTTCGCCATGAAATTGAAAAACGTAATTGCCGCAATTACGGAAAGAATTTTCCAAGGAAACGCAACAAGACCTAATAATGGAATATAGGCCAGGTGTCGCTTAAGTCATTTAGGAATTTCAATTGCAGAAGTATAGAAATAAGTTCTACAAGTCCAAGTGCATAACGTTTAGGTAGGTGATAGTAGGTCCTTTGGGTAGCTAATGCTGATCTATGGGTTGATTTCGAATTGTGATGTATGCTGATATCAACTTGAAAAGCAAAATTACAATTTCTTTACGAATTATAGAAAAACCAACACTTTGAGGATATTCATTTAACTCACCCTAAAGAAAGGCAATGAAATGAATTCGTTAATATTCTTAGCCCATCAAACGCATTTAGACCGCTAAGATCGTTCAACCGGATCCGTTTTTGGGCTATGCGAGCAATTAAGTCAGATTGCCATAGGTGCATGATCGAACGACTTTGGGACGAGGTTCCAGAACAAAAGTCATTTAAACCGCATTCGTGCGTCCTACTATGCCCGAATCTGCGTAGGGCGTAGAGTAGAAACAATTTATAATACTCAAATACATGCAATTATTGATTTTATAAGTAATGCCGTGTTATCTGATTGTTTTGCCATCCGGCCTGCCGCCTCCTCAACCGCAGAGCTGCTATGGGTGAGCGAAAAATATTCGCACGTTCCGTCCAATTTGAGAAGGGGATTCCGGACTCCAGAGTCGAGACGATTCAGTTGCGTCGCGACTGTGAAAGCCTCAGGTCTCCAGCTCGAAGGAGGCAATCGGATTGAAAGGATTTCGGCGAAGAGCAGAGAAGAGAAGGAACCATAGCCCGGAGATGCAAGTACCTCGGCTGAAGCTGCTCATGGGCTCGGGAGCCATGTTCGTCTTTGCCATAATCTATGGCTGGGTTATCTTTCCCAAAATTCTCAAGTTTATGATTTCAAAGGTGGGACCGATAAAAAGTAATCCCCGGGCTTAATCTAATAGTGACTTTCCCCAAATAGCAAGTAACTCTAAAGCCGGGAACGGATGTTCGGGAACTCTGGTCCAACACTCCGTTCCCCCTGCATTTCTATATCTACGTTTTCAACGTTACCAATCCGGATGAGGTATCCGAAGGAGCTAAGCCACGTCTACAGGAAGTGGGTCCCTTCGTATTCGAGTGGGTTTCTATATAAGATTGTGTGGGATAGCACGTAACTAACACTGTTTTTCCCTGCTTTGAGTGAGTGGAAGGACAAGTATGATTTGGAGGATGATGTCGTAGAGGATACGGTCAGCTTCAACATGAGGAACACCTTCATATTTAACCCAAAGGAGACGCTGCCACTTACGGGCGAAGAGGAGATTATCCTTCCGCACCCCATAATGCAGGTAATTTTGATGCAAACTGAAACCTATTAAACGAGACTTTCATGGTAAGAAAATAATAAAGTCTGCTCAAATATTATTGGGATTTAGCAGCTCATCATGTTCTTACATATCTTCATATAAAATCAAATCCTATTTTTGAATTTCCTATGAAATTAACATTCGCTGCATCAGCGACTTTATAGCAATTAGAGATTCTGGTCAGAGCTATGGAAAACTGCACTTAAGGCGCCAGCTAATGACCACGTGGCCCATTGTTAGCCAAGTGAATTATGCAAATCGCATTCCCAGCCCAAAATAGCAGCCACAAAATTAACCCATTAAGAGTGATAGAAATGGATTTCGGAATGGCGTCTTTTGTGTTTGTAATTCAAAGCTTCAAATTACTCTGATATTTATTGGCGGCGATTCTATTTTTTCCCCTCCAATTTTACAGCCCGGCGGCATTTCGGTTCAAAGGGAAAAGGCTGCCATGATGGAGCTGGTTTCCAAGGGATTAAGCATAGTTTTTCCGGATGCCAAAGCCTTTCTGAAAGCTAAATTTATGGATCTGTTTTTCCGGGGCATCAACGTAGATTGCTCCTCGGAGGAATTCTCCGCCAAGGCTCTCTGCACGGTGTTTTACACGGGAGAAGTTAAGCAGGCCAAACAAGTAAACCAGACGCACTTTTTGTTCTCGTTTATGGGTCAGGTGAGCTATTGATATGGTTAATAGTCCTGCTCAAGCCTCTGAAGTTCCTATTAATATCCAATAACAGGCCAATCACTCGGATGCTGGTAGATTTACAGTCTGTCGCGGAGTGAAGAATAACAAAAAGCTGGGAAAGGTTGTGAAGTTCGCCGACGAAACGGAGCAAGATATTTGGCCAGACGGCGAGTGCAACACCTTCATGGGCACTGATTCCACGGTTTTTGCACCGGGCTTGAAGAAGGAGGATGGCCTGTGGGCATTCACCCCGGATCTGTGCAGATCCCTGGGAGCCTATTACCAGCACAAGTCATCCTACCATGGCATGCCGTCGATGAGATACACCCTGGACATGGGGGATATACGTGCTGATGAGAAGCTTCACTGCTTCTGCGAAGATCCCGAAGATCTGGACACGTGTCCGCCCAAGGGAACTATGAATCTGGCGGCCTGTGTGGGTGGTCCATTGATGGCATCAATGCCTCATTTCTATCTGGCCGATCCAAAGCTGATTGCAGATGTGGATGGTCTTAATCCGAATGAAAAGGATCATGCGGTCTACATAGACTTTGAACTGGTAAGGAACTACATAGATTCGTGAATATACACATATTTTTTCCATTTGTACTCTCTTCAGATGTCTGGAACACCTTTTCAAGCTGCGAAGCGATTGCAGTTCAACCTGGACATGGAGCCAGTGGAGGGCATAGAACCCATGAAGAATCTGCCCAAGCTGATAATGCCTATGTTTTGGGTGGAGGAGGGCGTACATCTTAACAAGACCTACACGAACTTAGTAAAATACACACTATTTCTGTGAGTTGCAATCTACATCATCTAGAGAAATTATATACCTGATATTACTTTCATCTCAGGGGCCTCAAAATCAACTCTGTCTTGCGCTGGTCCCTAATTACTTTCTCCCTGGTTGGCCTGATGTTTTCCGCCTACCTTTTCTACCACAAGTCCGACAGTTTGGACATAACCAGTATCCTCAAGGAGAACAACAAGGTAGACGATGTGACCAGCACAAAAGAGCCCTTGCCTCCAACAAATCCAAAGCAATCTACCACTGTGCACCCTGTTCAGGTGCCCAATACTCTGATTCCCGGCACGAATCCCGCCACCAATCCAGCTACCCATCTCAAAATGGAGCATCGGGAGCGCTACTAATCCCTCAAAAGGCGATCTCCAGCGATCTCTGCACCATAGTCGTAGTCCACTGCACCTGTGTAGTCCAACATGAGTTAATAAATTGTGACAGATATATAGGCACATTCGTCTGGGAAACTGGTCGGTGGCCAATCGAGTGATCGCTAATCGATGATCGCTGACCGCTGATCGCAGATGACAAGATCTCCACTGCGCTCCACTGACACCAATCAGCGTGGATTCAGCAAAAAACGCAAAGATCAGCGATCACAAGTGTCTGTGAATTGACAAATCGTTCTTAAAAAATGGTTGCAATGTTTGCAAACCGAAAACAATTGTACAGACAGGCGTAAAAGATGAAGCAAAAATATCTCTTTTTGTAAGGCGCTGACTAATGATTTGCAAACAGTATGCAGAATTTACACTTTTTAATTAATTTTAATGAAGATGAATTATAAGTACTTGTTCTGTTGGCCCTAAAGTAGTGGTTGTAATTGAATGAAAAAATAAGACAAACAAAGGGGAGGCAAATAAATGCTATCTGTTTGGCTTAGTGTATAAATTAGTAAACAATTTTCCTTTTATAAAAGATTTACTAAGTTTTAAATTGTTTTCTCATTGGAATAATTAACTACGCATATACAAATATTTCCCTTTTAAAAGATTATGCCCTACGACATTCCACATCGAATTGGCCCTCGAGGATCTCCAACTAATCGATCTTCCAAGATGGTTGTATCCTTAGGCAGTTCGAACGCCAACAGATCCGCCAACTGACCGCAATTGAGCTCCGCTTCCCCGACAAAGAAGTCCTCATCCAGATCCTTAATAAAGATCTCCCTTCCCTCCTCGTGGCTTATCTCCAAGTAGTTGAGGTCCTTCAGATGGGGCAGCATGTCCATGTGATCCGAAGTCAAGTTGTCGTAGGTAAAGCTCAATCTTTCCAATCCGTTGGCTGAGGTAATTTTTGGCAAGTCAGCGAGATTCACAATGCCCGTTACATCCAAGTCAACTAGCTTACTGGCCTGTGACAGAAAGTCAAGTTTATACAGATTGGTATTGGCCAAGTAGAGATGCTCCAGATCCTGCGGCTGGGAAATCTTCAACTCATTCAGATTTAGGTTAGTCTCCAGTTGGACACCAACCACTCGTCCATCCAACTTCACTGACTCGAGACCACAATTGGTGGCCTCCAGCTCATTGATTTCAGCTGATAGATGGAGATTTCTCAGTTGCGGATTAAACGAGAGCGAGAGATGATCAATATCATTAAATATATTCCAAGGAATCAGCTCTAGTTGATTATTTCTGGCTGAGAATTCCGACAAATGTTTTCGCTGATCTCTAAAAAGTTCGCCAGGCAGTCCCCTCAGCTGATTACTGTCCAGATTTATGGAATTCAGAGATCCCAGTTGTGAGAAGATGTGCTGGGATAAAGTCATTAGGCGATTGTTGGATAAGTTGATCCTTTGAAGGTTCTTCAGGGGCCGAAATATGGTGGTGGGCAGATCCTCCAGTTGGTTGTCTGATAAGTTGAGTTCCTCCAGTTGGGTGGCCAATTCAAATGTGTTGCTATCCAAGTCTCGGAGGGCATTTCCACCAAAATTCAATGTTCTTAAATTTTTGGCACCCTCAAAACATGCTCTTTCTATTTGTTGAAGCTCGCACTCCAATACATGGAATTCCACAAGTTGAGGAAGGTTCAAAAAGAGTTTTCTCGGCAAATTGGCCAAATGGGAACTATGAAGAATCAGAGCTTCGTAGTTCCTCAAATGTTTAGTCACCTTTTCCGAGAAGTAGGCAACTTCTGCCGCCGAAGGGTATTTCAAGTTCGTGCACGTATTTTCGCGGCAATCCACACTGTCAATTGCAATTTCCTCGAGCTTTTCTGACTTGCAAGACGTGAAGCCAATCACTGCGATAAAAATATAGTTGAGATAGTTTTGCATCCGCATCTTGGCTTAAGAAGACTGAGCCTAAAACTGGCTTGGGGGGCATTTTAATACACAACCAGAACACAACCTTCAAAAACCACCCCAAAAGAGCCAAAACAGGTCTTTAGGTGCTCGATTGTTTGTTTATTTGTTTTTGTGTCGACCCGCTCCACAATCTGGTTCGATTTTTGGCCAATAAAATTTTATTGTTCCTCTCAATGAATATATTTGCGTTGCTTTTGCCTCTGCGCTCCGTTGGAGAACATTATCGGGCTTTTGGCATAATACCCGCCGATAAGCACGATCTCTCGATTCCCCACTACATAGCACGGCTCTCTCAGCGGATTGCCAGGCTATATACTCATACTGATTTATGGCCCAGTTGTGCCAGCTGATATGGAATGGCTGCTGTTTGTGGACGGAGTACTCCCATTGCAAAAGTATGCCAAGTCTGGCTACGTTTGGTCTGGCCGGTCGCTGATAATCATAGGAATTGTCTACAAGCAGTTGGTTTAGACTAACATCTTCTGATGGGAGAAGGTTTAGACTGTATATGGTGTTGACTTGAACGTGGCAGCTTTGACTAACTTTAAAGCGTATAATGTATTTTCCCGTATTCGCTGCATCTAATTAAGCAATAAATTGGATCATAACATTAGATTACAAATCATCATTTCATTTACAAATCATTTCCTCCCTAAAACGAATATCCAAGAGCACATGGAAATAAACTCGCCTGTTTTGATGGCAATTAGCTCATTTTCCAGTTATATCATTACCGATTTCGTCATCGGTGCAGTCAGATGGGTGGAACAACCTTTGAATATCCTCAACACTTAGCGTTCGAATGACCAATAAACCTAATGAAATAAATCAAGTGCCATAAACCGGAGGCGCCATATAAAATCACCCACAATAGAGGAGCTATATGCTGATTTATATATTTCTATATCGCATTTGTTTACACTGCTAAACTATTGGGGGAATTTGATTTGAATAAAGTACAGACGGCGGGCCAAAGTCTCTTGGGGGCAGAAAAGCAAAAAAGCTGAAAAAGGCTGGTAATTCTCACTCTTTTTTTCTCGGGGCTTGTATGCAAAGTAATTGCGGCAAATTGAATTCAACAAAGGGGGCACAGACGAAAAAGTGTATCGCTAAACGAAGTCATGCCGTTTCAATTGAGCTACAATAGATATAGATATAGCAAATGCCCTGGAAAGAGCAAAAGCAGTCTTGAGTCGAGTAATTTAAAAACCATTGGCTCATAATAAGCCCAGTGCAAACAGGCAGATCAATTGTAATACGTAAAGTGGAAAAATTAGACATCGATATTCAAATTGTTTGCCAGGCCAAAGCCCATGAAATCCCACCAAAACCGAATGGAAACCTAATTTTTCACATTTCAACAAGCGAATAAATTTGTTTGCATACAAATTAATAAGGCTTTGCCTGTCATAATCTTTTTGTTTTCGCCCGCTAAGCTGCAACTGGCAAATTGAGCGACTGAAAGCAGGTTGAACGTGTTCTCAACCCGCTCGCCCGTCGATATATTGGCTAAATATTTTACACATTTTTCCACTGACATGTCAGCACTTCGCAGTCACTTGGATAATTTATGAATGTTTTCGTGTAAAGGTGGCATAGATTCTTGCTGATCATCGCCGAACCCATGCCAAATGATTGTTTAAGAATAACAACCGAATAAAAACGACAACAGTTAACGGAAGCTCGGTTGCTCTTATCGAATCGAAACTAAAAAAATGCGCTCCACAAAATAGTTTGCTTGATAAATTCTGAGTCAGCCCGGCAATAATCAGCAAAAACATTTAGCGCAGGCAGTACCAAAGACTTTTACGCCCAACGCAATGTTAAATGGGTTATGTATAAGTTTAAAAAAATATTTTAAGAATCGTTTCCATCGCCCTATTTGGATGGTAAAAGCCATTTAGCCCCAGTGAAAATACCCTTACATAAGGGTGCATTCGACATGGCCAGCAATGGGGAGTGTCTGGCCTCATGTCCACTATCAGCAGCCAAGAGATTTCCACCTTTTGTTCAGCAAATCGCTGAGTAAACACTTCGTGATAAGGGAACACAGGGACTGGTGGAACTGCTCCGCAGATATTGTACAATGTTTTGTTCGAACTTAGTGAGTCTCGCCCGAATTTTGAATGGAGGCAACAGAGCGAGAACTCCATGGGCCAGCACAAAATAATGAATAATAAATGGAGAAGCACAAACAAGTGTCAAAATAATGGTGACTACAGAAGCAACCCGATTTTCATACCTCACGTACAGCAATAGACGTTATTTTCTTTTTAATACATTTTCCTGATATTTTCCGAACGTTTCTGAGCTCTCTAACAATTAATTCTGTTAATTATTCAGCAGATTAACAATTAGAATTATTTATTCGAAATTCTTGAATTACCAACAAATTATATTTTTTTAACCGGCTCACACTGGTTAGAAAATAAAATGTAAGCAATATTTGTATCCATCCAAGAAAATTCGTTTTCATTCCGATTGCCAATGAATAAATCACTTCCTAAACTACACTGACTTACGCTTTCGAAACGAACTGTACCTGCCTCAGATGAACCATATTTATTTTCGCAAAATCAAAGCACCATGAATAGAATGGGCTGGAAATTATATAGAACTGATGATCGTTATTTGAGCATTATAGCAGCGGCTTATCTGGCCAGGCGTTTGGCGGTCATCGTTTGGAATCAGTTTCAGGTCGAACGTGAATCGTGGAGCACGCCAAATGTACGTCCGGAATTGTCTGCCGTTCCTCTGGAGCTGTTTGCTGATCTCATTGAGGGCCACAGCTAGTGGTGACGAGGACGCGGATGCTGATGTGGATACTCCATCTAGAATCGTGCTGGTTTCCAGTTTGGAAGACCATTGTCAAACGGAGGGCAAGGTAACCAGCTGCAGGGGTTTCGAGTTTGCGGGAGAGGACGAGAAGGCCACCTTTGATCTGCCAACGGAGGTGCGGATTGCTGAGGATGGCACCACCTACGAGGTGGGCGATGAGGAGCACTCGCGAACCCTGATCTTCGAGAACTGCACCTTCACAAACTTTCCCCTGCGATTATTTTACACACTGGAGGTCAGTGAGCTGGACATGCGAGGCTGTGGCATCCGCTTCATTTACTGGGAGAACTTCTCCATTGGTGCGGATAAGCTGGTGATCCTTCTGCTGAGCGATAATCAGATCGAAGTGCTGCCCACGAAAACCTTCAGGGGAGCCGGAAACTTGGAATTTCTCTTCCTGAACCGGGAGGTGGGCGAGTACGCATTCCGATCCCAGGGACGACACCACCAGATGCAGTACGTGGATCTATCGCATAACCCCGAGCTGGTTGTGCTTCTACTGAACATTAATGCCACCAATCTGACCGTTCGCAATTGCTCGCTGGACCGTGTCAATTTGTACGGATCGGTGACGAATGTCGATCTGAGCGACAATCGCGTGCGGGAGCTGTACTTTCCCGCCTCGGAGGCCCTGGAGCACTTGGTGCTGCGCAACAACTCCCTGATTCAGCTGGCCTCGTTGAGCCGGGTGCCCAGACTCCGGCACCTGGATGTGGCGGACAATCCGAGACTGGGTCAGTTGCCCGAGGGCTGGCGGACGCCACATCTGGAGATGCTGGTGCTGCGGAACACGGGCCAGGTGGAGCTGCCGCTGGAGGCTCTGCAGGGTATGCAAAATCTGCAAAAGCTGGACATTTCCGGTAATAATCTGACGGAAATCGATCCCTCCGCGTTCCCCACACTCACGCAACTCACTCACTTCTACATTCATGGCAATAATTGGAACTGCTTCAGCCTGAGAAACATAATGGATGTTCTCATCCGTGCCAATGGCATTGCCTATACAGTGGACAACTACGATCCGGATTTCCCGGGGGAATACTTTCACGGAATAGCCTGCATGTATCGCTTGCCTGAAAAGGAGGGTGTGGATTCCTCCTCCTCGGAAATCTCTGCCAGCGTGGAGTCCTCCCCAATAACAAGTAATTCTGATTCAAGAGAGGTGGACAAACTGCGTGAAGAACTCAGAGCGGTGGTGAAGCACTTTGAGTCAAAGTTCGATTTGATGTTCAATAAACTCGCCCAAATGAATGAACAAATTCAGGCCTTTGAAGTGCTCAACAAAACTGTTTGGAGCCAGGTGACCTTGTCTGTCTAAAGTTCTTCACATTTTTGGGTCAAAAAGATGTAATATATTGCCTATTTTATGTGATCACTACATTTTTAAAGCTTTACATTTAAATTCCCATATATGTATATGAAGTATTTTCTAAAGCTTCTTAACATTAAACTCCGATCTACTAAAGAAATCATATATTAAATTGGAGGAAGGTTTCGACTGAAGAGTTCGCGTGGTGTTTTCTTTTTAACCAATATGGAAAATGTGTTACGCGTATACTAGATTCGTTGAAAAGTACGTAAAAGAAAGAAGGAAGCGTTGCCGACCCTATAAAGTATGTATATTTTTTCAAAGATCACTAGCCGAGTCGATCTGTCCGTTTGTCCGTCCGTATGAACGCCGAGATCTCAGGATCAATATAAGCTATGAAGTTGAGATAAGACATGCAGATTCCAAAGACAGCCGTAGCGCTAGTAACGGGTATCTGATAGTCGAGGACCTCAAATATAGCTTTCTCTTTTGTTTTAGCTTTACTTCCCTAATCTACAAACCGATTTCTGCTGTCCATGCTATTTTTCTCTGCTGATGTTGCATACCCAGCCGCAAAAATCAATGCGATTTGCAAGATGAGCACATCTAGTAAATATTTATTGGTTGCTGTGTCGTATACGTAGAATAATATTTAACAAAAATATTATTTTTCGAGCAAAACAAAGTCGGTTTTGTATGTTCCCTTTCTGAAAGATATGGAAAGAAGTTCGTTCAACTGGGGCTGATAAACAAACCAGATAAACGAGGGGAAAACTGAAGGCCAAAGACAAGATTGAGGGGTTCGAGGAACTTGAGTAATTGGACAAAGTTAAGTCAATTACAAAACCAATATTTTCGGAAACTAAACAACAATATTGAATTCGATCGAATAGCTCAAAAATTCACATATAAATTGCCATCTGCTAGTGCCAGCAGTTTTAATTATTTATGCTTTTTTCCTACGATTCGCTTGCTCACACATTTATGGGTAACTAATTGCTAAGATAAACAAACAGTTTCAGTTTCAGTGCAGCCACCTCGAAAGGAAGGGAAGTAAAAACAAATCCAACCCCACGGAACTCGACGATCACTGGCCGATCTGCTGATCCGGAGTATCGTGTGCATGTGATTAGGAATAAATCTACAGATATATCCATTCGAACACGAATTTCGAATACGGTTTGTGTATATTGGCAGTGCAATTTTTGTTTAAAGGTAATTGGCACACAAATCGTGTCAGCTCTAAATGCGAATATTCAATATTACCATATAGTGCGACTATCTGTGAGTTCTATTAGTTGTATCCGCAGATCAAAGTTCAATATTTCCTGGCTGTCAACTTCAGTAGCTATCTCTTCTAATTTCTGGGAATTCAGTTGAAGTGTGTTTGCTTAATTAGTCAATGTCTAAAAGGCAGTAGGTATCGTGATAAGGTACTTTTACATTTTGAGAACGGCACTTAAGATTTTATAACTGTAACTTAAATCATTTTCAACAACATTCAACAAAATTGGATCTTCTCGAAGAATGTTCCAAATCGTGTTTATAACACCATTTAAAATGGTAAGAAGTCGGATAAGATCCTGAAATGTGGTATGTTTATATATTTCACACGGTTATTGTTCACTATCGACTAACCTTAAATTTGTTAAAGAAAATTGTACAGATCTACATAGGTTTATGATTATTACATTACATTATTATTACATTATATAATCGATCAAAACGGCATTTTTATTAAAAATGTGTTCTAAACAAGACCAAATATTAAAAATGGTTTGAAACAATGCAGGTGCATGTTCGAAATACTAAAACAACATCTATATGCCCAAAATCAAATTATAAAAACCGAAGTGTCCGCGATTTTGGGTATTTTCCCAGTGTCGCCGCGAAAAGGGGGAATTTCCCACCCACTCGACTTAGTCACCAACACAATAGGCAGACGGAAAAGAAAGAATAGGGGAAAATCAAACGTCAAGCGCTCATATCAACACAAAAAAGAAAATAAAGGCACTGAAGTAAATCAGTTTTTCGATAAATTTAGAACGGATATTGGCACCCACCTTTTGTGTTTATTAATCAGTAATTGGATGTGTTTCTGATTCGATTGCAGATGGCAGAATCACAATTGTCGAATTTTGGTTAATTAGTTTTAAAATTAATTTAACAGGCTCACGGACACTGGAGCACATACACATCCGCACTCACGTACACATTTACACATTTACACTTTTAAACATTCACGTTCACCTGAACGGGTGGAAAACAGAACTTTTGTAAACAATTTTGCGATTAGGAATTTAGCTGTGCTAAAATAATATTGTAAATAAGAAGAGACGTAACAAATGAGCTGGTTGTGTTGTATATGCACCTATGTATGTATGTACATATATTCAGAGATTAGAGCGAAATTATAGTGACTACTTTTCGCTGGATGTCCAAACACTTTCGAGGTGTTGACTTTTCAGATTAGATTACACCACTCATTTCACTCGGCTAATTATCAGCCATTTTGTTCAACACCAAATAAATCAAAAACACGAAAACACCAGCAACAACAACCGATCCGATCTTAATAAAAGAAAAGAATGCGAGCTATAAAAAATCAAAATGAAAATTTATTCGGGCGCGCGCTTCCACTTTGTACTCGACTTTCCAATTGGAACACGCACCACGGCTGATCGGACAATGGAAGGGGCAAGAAGAGGAGCAGGACGTTGTTGTATTCGCCACTTTTTATTAAGAATCTATTCCATTACTGCGCGAAACACAGCCAGAAACTGGCACTAAACAGGGGAATAGCGAGTCTGGGCAAATAAAAGCATTTGTCCGTGGAAAATTTCCAAAACGTTTTGGTTGCTCTTTCCAGCAGCAGTAACAGCAGCAGGCGACGCCATGTGTTTGTTTGTATGCGTAACAGCTGATCGCCGATTATTGATTTTTTATATGGATGTACATCTGCACATGTACATGTATGTACATATGTATGCATGGGAAGGAACAGTGATTAGAGCTATTGTTTTGTGTAACAAGGAAGAAGTTTCGCAATGCATTTGCGCACTCAAAAGAACAAAGATCGATTGTCCATTGTTGCTGTTGTCACTACAATTTCTGCAATCCATTTGCGCACAATTAAAAGCTGTTCACGCAGCTTATCACAGAACAATATTATTGCAGAGCACTTCACTGATGTGGATACGCTATCCTGACACCATACCGCAAATTGCCCGCAATCAATTTATTTGTAATTAATTAGTGATCATTTATTAACATTTAATTTGGATTGTTTTTCACTGCACTGCCGTTTTTTAACGCGAATTAAAAGTTTTCCCAACCTCGTAGTCCGCTGCGTTTTCACCAAGCAGAGTTCGCAACCCAACTCACGATTATAGTCATCGTTATCGGGGGAGAAATCCAGCAGAAAAGGTCTTACTTTGCGTCTATCGTTATCGCTGATGATCTTTCACAATGTAGTTGGAATGGGAGTGCTGTCACTGCAATGTTGTTTTAGTATTTTTCGATAACTGGTTATTTGTAAAAGATTAAAGTTATTGCAGCTGATTTACGATTTACACGCCAGGCCGTACAACGACGACTGTGAGGTAAAATGACAATGAAAACATCTTTCGTACCCACATCTTTATTTTCCACTATTATAAACTAATAATATAAGAGCCATTTCTTGTTTGAACATAATTATTTTAAATGGAATGCGCTTTGCACTTTCCGGCTACGGTCACACTGATGAACCAACGCGTTGCCAGATTGGAGCGTGAGGTCTATAACAACCAGCTTTTGTCATACACCACTAATTTGGGCGCTTAAAAGGCGCTGAGTTTGAATTGCAAAAACTGCACGTTCTCAAAATCACATCGAACCTTAAAGTTTACCTGTAAAAATACATATTTTGCTAGCTGCACCTAACAAAAAACGTCGAACCTACATTTGCATATCCTATTCCCATCATAACGCTAGAATTAGAATTTATGCCCCATAAATAATCTTAACTAGTTGCCTTGACTTGCCTTTCACACTTTCGGAGCCCACCCAAACTCTTCGAAACTTCAGCTCAGCCAACAAAAATCAATAAAAATGGCGCATTGCACTGAGGCCACCTAGGAGCACACAATGACGCCACCAGAACAGCAAAGTACTCGAAATCGGAGACGCTGAATTTTACGCCATCCACCAACTTCACTTAGACCATTAAAAATACGGCCAAGGACGTAACAAAAACACTTTAAAGAGTCTTGGAAATAGGTTTTCTCGTTGTTAAGGTGTTTTGCTAGCTTGATCAATCCATCATAACCTAGCCGCGAAACTGGGCACTCACCTGCTCAATGTCGAAGTCCCACTCGGGCGATGGAGAACGCGCTGTTCGGCTGCCCGGCGGAGGAGTTCCCAATGCGGGGGAGCCGGCTTGGGGCTCTTCGGGAATCACGGCGAAACGACCCCGCTGCAGGATTGGTGATATGGCGCCATAATTAGCTGCAATGGAGAAAGAAGGGGTCAGTATTCTGCACTGCACATATTTAATCGAGCATTTGACCCGAAGATATCCATTACAATAACTTTAGCACATCTATAATGATTAATAACCCAAAGCTAAGCAAAGCGTAGAGTTTTAGATAAAATGTAAAGGCAAACAACTGAAGCGACTTACATGTGGGCATGAGGCGGAAGCGGCCGAGCGTCGTTTCGGGCGGACCCTGTGGCGTGGAGGAGGTGACGCGGAAGCGGCCTCGCCGGGCGGCGGCCACGTCCTCGTAGTTGCTACCCCCCGACGCTCCGCCGGCACTGCTCTGCATCCTGTGGCTGATGCTTCCTCGTCGGCCTCGGCAAGAGCTGCAATGGAGTGTGAGAACATATAATCAATATTGCGCACAGATGGTCTAATTGTATTTTGTTTTCGGCTAACATAACTGCAACTCACTGGGAGATTATATTAGTCTTTGTAGAACTGTATAAAATCTTTTTCCATAAATCCTTAAAAATACATAGGCAAAAATGAGATGGAGGTGGTATGTAATTTATATATGATGCATCGTTAATTAATTGGCTATCCATGTTTGTATATGGTCTATATACATAACGAATTAAAATTAATGCTTCGTAACCAACTCAGCTATAGCTTATGTTTTTTTCGTGACATTACTAATACGCCACGTATGTATATTGGGAGGGGTTTGGATTATGTATTTCAACAATGTCTCAATGTAATAGTTAGTTATCTAGCTGTTGGTTTATTTTATTTGGTTATCTGAGTTCGGCCCACTGTGCAGTGGTGAGAGGCAGTCGGAAAGTTGACTTTACGGGTTCATTGCACGCGAGTTTACTTTAGCTTTCTTGGCGCCTCTAAGCAGACTACATAATGTACAAAGCGGCTACGCTCTTTCTCTCTCGCCGCGGAAATCATAATTGAAAATCTCGAAAAGTGCATGAACGAATTCCTTTAAAGTGTGCCACACAAGTCATTCAACTGCAGAAATATATAGGAAAAGCGGTGTGGGGTGAACAGCTGACTGAGCGCCACGCGGCAACGCGGCGAATGTGTGATATTTTTGGTTGATTGCCTGGCTGCTCAGAATTAAAAACGGCAGCGAAGCATTTCATATTTGTTTTATCGTTTGTTTATATTTCCTCAATTGAATCTGTGATAAATTTCGCTAGAAACGAAATTGTTTACTCGGATGAGACACCATCTATGTGACTAATTTCCGAGCATCAAGAGCAATTTTTGATTGCCGCAAATGCTAGGCATAACAATAAAAAGCTTGGCAGCTTTATATGACGGCAAGTTGCACATATGTATGTACAATTTATTGAATTGCGACTAAAGTCAGCGACCTATGTACATAAGTATACGCAACATTTAAGTAATTTAAGCAATGCCTCCTGATTTTTGTTAAAAACTTTGATCAAAATCTCGTTTTTCAATTCACTTATTTTCGCTCTTGGATTTTACAATCAAATTATTCCTCATATTTACATTGACACAGAGAAAGACAAGGATTTCACATTTACCTTAGTAATCCTTATATCAATTTCTTTGCCTCCAGCAGTTAAAAAACGGAATTGATTAGAAATAGTTAATTATAAAAACTTTCACTTTAAGTAGAGCCATTACGATGTAATTATTGACTTTATTTCGCATTTATTGTATTATGTATCGTTTTGTTGTATTATGTTAACATGATTTTTCAGCTGCTTTGCCGAAAAACGTTTGCATAACACGCACATCCAAACATGTGAATACTATATATATCGCTCATACGCCACTGGTACAGATGGTCAGTCGGAATTGACAAGCTCGTGACTTTGCGTGTCTCGAAATATTTTATAATATTTTATTGATTTTCTGCAGCTCTTTTTATGCCCGACAAATTAACACTGAAACACCAAAACAGCACTAATAAAAAATATAATTTAGAACGCGCTGCAAACACTTCTCGACTGAGCACTTCGAACGAAATAATAAAAACAAAGAGACGCCAAGAGAGCGGCAGACTAAGAGAATCAGAGAGACAGAGCTGCTGCGGAATTTATTTCGCGTTTGTTTCACTTTGTGCAACTGCCAAAAGCGAAATTGGCAAAACAACAACAAGAGGACCCGAAAGCGAAAACGAAAATGAAAAGCGGCCAAAACGAATGCAGCACCAAAATAAACCGAATCCGAAGTCAGAAGTCAGTGAGAAGAAGAGCCTGAAACGAGTGGCCACCACTGCAACCAACTGCAGTGAGAGAGTGTGAGAGAGTAAAAGCGTCCGTGCAATAGGTTGCATTAAAGAGAGCGAGAGAGCTCTCAGTATACTTAATTCATAAAAATGCAGATAAAATTAAAGTCCCAACCATTGTTTTCCCTCTTTGGGCATCGGCGTTTGCAAAGGAATTTACTTAACATTTTTAAAGGCATCCAATACGAATTATAGAATTCGATTTATATACCTCTGCGTATATTGTTTGTAAACAAATAACATGTAAGGGGGATGATATTTACAAATATGGCATCATTATAGGGAAACACCTTTAACTGGGAATCATATCTGAAGTATTAACTATCGAATATTATATTGAGCTTTGCGTTTCTACAAACTCGTAGTTTTACTGGTGTATATTATGTATATTTATGTTCGAAAAGGAATCCCTGATTCTGTATTAAGCACCAATACATGCACTCCGTAAAAGTACCGGATAAAGGGAGAGAACCTGCATAATAAAGAGAAAGAGAGCGGTGCCCCTAGAAAGTGCCAGAAATCGCGTATACGCTACCAGAGAAAGCTCCGCAATCAGCTGTTGGCAACACGTGAGCGCACCGCCCCCTCAACGGGGGTAAGTGGCAAGTGGTGCATGTCTGCTAATTGAAAGCAGATGGAAAATTGTGGGCGGAGGATTTAGACAATTGGTACGATGAAAAAAACAAAAGTACAATGGGATCACCAGGGACTCAGCTGCACACTGTCAAAGTGATGAAATAGGACTCAAAGTGACAACTTCTGCCATGGAATTGCATAAGAATGTGATGAATTGAAAGAAAAATAGCAGATATGGAAATGGACGACCTAATAAATGGTAATCAAGAGTTCACAATCAATAAAGTGGTATTCCAAAGCCCCCAAGTCATAAAGGGAATTTATTCCTTATACAGTACTTTATATATGTATCTTCTTATCTCAATTGCTTTGCCTTGTATGTCTGAAAACACTATTGTGAATCTAATGATGATAAATTAATAGAACTCCAGTTTACATGCATAGGGTATTCAATAATGCGTAAGTGAAAGAAATATACAAAGTTTACCCATCATCATGAACGAATAAATAAAGCTAGGGGCCAATATAGTTAGGATTTACTACAACATTTAATTCGGCAGAAAGTGGGAAAAATGATCCAGACTTAAAGCTCTCATCTTGTGCCGTAAATAATATGTAATTTGAATGCAACATTAATTCATCGAGAGAATTCATCAGAGAACAACGGTCTGATTAGCTTACATGCTAATCTCAAATCAATGCCAATTAAAATGGATGTAAAACTCAACCAGCGGCAACAGTAAACAGAAATTTATTGCACTGCCAATGAAATTATAAACATTATTAACAAAGTGCAGACTTACTGTGATATTTGGTAGTGCCCCTCTAAAGCATGCACTAAGAAACTTTATCAGAATGAGTTTTAAATTTGATCTAATGGTACAAACAATAAAGGTCCCATATCTTCTCCAATTCACCAATTAATTATTACTCACTATGCGAAAACGTGGATTAATTGTTGTGAAAAGATTAGAGGACAAATATTTTCTCAGTGCATAAGCACCTACACAAAGTCCGCCCGTCTATCATTATTTTATACAGCACATATCCTAACAATTTTTGCGTTTCGCTGGCGATGTATTTTACGCGATTTGCGTCTAGAGAAAAGAAATAGCTAAG